ACAACAGTGGAAACAGGTGTTACAGTAGAAAAAAAGGCAGTTCTACAACATCCCAGGGTATCATTTGAAGACTGAGAGTAGAAAGACAACAGCTCTGCAATAAAACGGGTGTGTTGAGGGAGAACAGAAAGCAACAACGCGAGACTAAATTTAGACTGACAGTCTGGAAAAACACTTTATAGTCAGAGCTTTTTGAGGATGTGAGTGTTTTCTTTAAGCTCTTCCAGAGAAATAGTCAAAATGAAGGGTTGAACTGAGGGTCTGAACAAAGAACTGTAGCTTCAAAGTGAGAGAAGGTGGAACGAACCAGTTGACAGCGAAGGAGAACAAACTCATAAAGTTAATGTAGAAATCCAGCAGACTAAGGTCACCGACAGTATTGATGGTGAGACAAACCAGCACACACACATATTGACTTTCATTCATTCTGTAGCTTTACCCTGATTGATTTGGCATCCTTCTGGAAGGCAACCTATGCTGGTCAAAGGTTTTTTATTGCTGGTGACCAATATGGGCACAACTCCTACATTGGTTTTTATGGCACCTGGCATTCCCACCAGACAAGCCCACCAGGCCCAACCCTGCTTAGCTTACAAGATCAGACAAGATCTGGTGTTCAGGGTGGTATGACAACCTAACACCCTCCAGTCCATAACTAACCCTAACCCACCCTCATGTCCAGAGGTGGGGACTCGAGTCATTAATATTATGACTTTAAACTTGAGTTGAAAAAATGTTCAAAGAATTGTGACTTCACTCGGACTTTTACACCAATGACTTGGGACTTGAACTGGACTTGACCCTGTTTACTTGAAAAGGCATGATATTTAACCCAAAATCTAAAGTTTAATACTCGTTATTTATAAACTGGGCCCCTAATGAATTTAACTCATTCCGTATTAACAACGATAGGTTGTCCGTCTTTAGCACAGCAAATCAAATCACAGTAACCAGATTTTTAAAAATGGAAAATTGTAAAGGAATACTATTTTTGCAGCTCTGATTGCCTGAACTGTTCATTATAAAGATTACCGTAGATTAGATCTAATTTGTCATTGTACAGAGCACAATGAAATTACAGTTCAGAACACCAGACCAGAAGAAGAAGAAGACAGAACAAACATGGGTGGGAGAACAGGTGCCCTGGCTCATGCAGCCACAGACCCCTGCACAGAGCAAGGATCATCTTCATGAAGACATCATGAGGAGGCGCAACCCTTAACAGAAAAACTAAAAGCCACACAAGGGAAGATGAGGGAAAAAAAAAAACATCATATTATATCAACAATGTGACACACTGTGGTGTTTATAAAAAAAAACCTCTGCATATTTATTAGCTAGAGGAGTAAGTGAGTTTAGGGGTGTGTGTATCTGAAGCCATGAGTGTTGTATGCACTTGCGAAGAATCGAGTCCCCAAAACCAGTGCAGCCATAGTTCAGAATATGATGTTAACTGTTCATTCTGTGCGGCCCTCAGCTTGCTCCAGGAACCAGATCACAGACAGGTGTGGGGAGGGGGGGGCAGACCCTCAGTCGATGTAAACATCCAGGAAGATTTAGTCCACAGCTCTCAAGGCCATGTAGGGGAGAGAGATTCTGTAATCAGTTGTTTTGGGAACAGAAGAGCCAGGCAGACAATAACAATTTTTCATCTGCCTTCATGTCCGCTGGTACATCTCAAGGTAGCAAATCCAATCAGACAAATAATGTAGACAAATTCCACCGAGCCATACCATCAGCTTCTCCAAGATCAAGACCGTCTGACCAGCAAAGTCCAGGAACCACAGCTGGCCCATGACCCCCAGCAGAACCACTTGCAGACAGAGTCCAGCTCGCTCAAGGCAAAAATCTGAGTGCTGATAGCACGACCATCCTTCATAATGGTCAGGCAGCCAGGAAATGAAAAGCCACCGACGTTGTTTTGTAGAACACCAGGAGACCACCAAGCCAATCTGTAGAATCCAGTGATCGAAATCCAAATATATATCCAAAACAGAGCAGAACAGAGGTCCCACCTTTGACATGTCGTCCCATGGAAGAAAAAAGTTTGTTCCAAAAATTTATTGAGACCAGCTAAACAAATTCATAAAAATAAAAATGTCCATAATTTCTGGCTTTGGATGAAAACGTAGAGAAGGCTCCAAGCAGCAAAGCAGGGAAGATAAGGAAGGGCAGGAGAGAAGGAAAAAGTGTCTTGCTCCTTTGAGAGCAAAACAAAAAATAAATGGTAAAAATAATGGGTGAAATTTTAAAAAGATTTTTAAATACATTAAGTTCAGCTGCACGTTTCATCACAATGTGAGATAAATACACTTTTTAAGAGTATAACTGCAACTGTTAAAAAATGACTCAAAAGGACTTGAAAATCCAATTTTCAGACTTGGGACTTGACAGGTGCCTGTCTTGACTTGAAACTTGACTGTCTTTGCTTGAGACTTGATTCAGGACTTGAGGATAAAGACTTGACAATTACTTGAGACTTGCAAAACAATGACTTAATGAATTGGTCCCACCTCTGCTCATTCCACACCTTAGTCTTAAAACCCCTAACCCAAAAATGGCGTTCCACCATGTCAGAACCAGGCTTTGGTCCCAGTGAGAGCCATTTCTACGTAGGAGTTAAAAACTTTAGCTGTCACTTTCTATTAGCCCTGAATTAGTTTTTTTTTTTCACTTCAGTAAAATCACAAAACGTGACTACTGAATTATGGACTTATATTCAATGAATAAACGTGTCACGTTTGAAAGAGCCCCTAGTCCCCAAATAGACGACTGGTCCTCACAAGGTAGGAGTTTAAACCAAAGACGGTCTTAAAAAGTTAACAGAAACCAAGTACACACACACATTCCTATGTATGCCTGACCTTAACATCCTCAAATAGAGGACCCCTGTCTGGACTGGGACCCAAATGAAGTCTGAAGCCTCATAAGGACTACTGGTCCTGTCAAGGTGATTTTACAAAAAAAAAAAAAAAGTCCAAAAAGAAAGGCAAACACACACACTAACTCTAACAGCTTCTGCTTTATCTCCAAGCCTCTCCATATCTGTCCAATTCACTTTATTCATCACTGCACATTCTCTCAGCCTCCATCTGCTCGTCTACCGTTGTGTTTCCAAGCTTTTGATTTTCAACTCCTTTCAATTTTGAGCCTTATTTTCTACTCGGCTTGAAAGAACTGAGCATTTTCTTTGCCTTGTTTATTCTCAACTGGCATCAAAAGCTCCTTCACTCTGAACTGGGTTTTTTACACAGTAAAAAATAAAAACTTCTCGCTCCTCATTTGCTTTTTGCTTCAAATCGCTCTGAAGTGAAAGGAACGATCCAGATCTCAGTCTGCGAGTCTTCTTGTGGTGAACTTTGACCTGTTGAAGCGGACGTGTCATGGCGTCCACGCAGACAGGAGAAATGATACTGAATCTTTAGAACTCATGGTAAAAGACAAACAAAACAAAAAGGGGCTCAAGAGCAAAGATTTAGCCTAAACGTAAGGAAAAAACCAGAGAAAAGCAAAGAGGATGCTCTCTGTGGTCCCTCTGTTTCCAGAGAGAGGTGAGGGGGCTGGTTGTCATGACAGCCGTTGTCATGGCAGTCAGACTGGTTAATAAACAAGAGGAAGAAACGTCCACCCATCTACTAAAGATGAGCTGCTGTGGAAACTGCTGACAAGATTCAGCAAATTCGTACGAGATGCCAAAGTCTGATTTTATTTTTTATCTGTCGTCTGGGGAAATTGCACAACCCTGGGTTCATTAAAGCTCTGCTCTCCATCATGATGAGAGTGCTTCTTGTCTAGTTTCTCCTGAAAAACCAAACATTTTCTCCAGCAAAGGACAGTGAAGTTGAATTAAAGCACATTTGAAGCATCGTGAAAACATCCTTCAAAGTTATGATGTCATCGTCATCAGGTTTGGTGGCCAGCAGGAGCAACGTCAGGACTGTTGATTTTTTAAAGGTTTTTTTTAAGTGAACTTTGCATTTAAATGTTTTTGGAAGAACATACCATCCACATAGAAACATTTGACTACGCAAAAAAAAAAGGAAAAACAGAAATAACTGGTACGAGATGGAGGTCGATGCTCCGTCAAACAGAGCATCAACATGTAACAAGCTGTTCAGCAGCACTGTCTTCTGAGTCCATTGAATGGAGTATTGGTATTGATAACAGCATTGTGGCACTTTGTACAAGTACTTGTAAAAATGCTGGTATCGGTACAAGAACTGATACTGGTATCAACATTGGGACTCTACAATCATAGACCTATCTCTAATTAAAACCTATGAGCTGAGGGTATTCCGCCCCCCTCCCTCCTACACACGCTTCATATGTTGGCTGTGTCCAAATTCAGAGGCTGGGTCCTTCGAAGGACCCAGCCTACCTGGTCCAGGTGGGCCAGGTCCTTGGTCAACAGCGAACACCAAAGCTGGCTGTGAGTTTGGATGGTCAAGCCTTCCGCTTTATTATCGCCCTTACCCTGACATTGGATGTAATGGGTCACATACATGAAAAAAAATATAAAAATTGATGTTAAATAGCACAAAGAATTAAAAGGCTAATTCAGTTTAAATCTTTCATTCATTTAATATTTACTATATAAAAGGCTGGGCTCTGCTCTACGACACCTATTACAAACTTTAGAAAATTATTTATAAAAAGGTTTTGCAAACTTTTCTGTTGTCCACAGCAGAACCTAAAACACAATAAAAAAATAAATCTTAAAACCTAATAAATCTTATCTGAGCAGATTTCTGTTTGGTGTATTTAAACAAATAACTGCAGATGTTTTCTGAATGCAACCAAAATGTGTATTTTTTTCTGTACTCTGTTTCTGAACAGGTTATCTTAATAGCATTAAATATTTTTCATGATTTAAACCAAACTAATCGTTTCATAGTGCATTTTTTAACCCTCTCGTTGCTTCCTCAAAGCAACCATGAACCATAAATATTAAGGAAAACTCAAAATTCTGATGTTTCTGCATCTAAAATAAACACAAACTGTAAAATTCTCTAGTTTTTAATTAGAAAATCGTTCACTGAAAAGTGGAAACTGTCAGCAATTGTCTAATTCTGATCAATGCGTTTTCTTACCCCCCCCCACACTTTTTTTTATCAAAATGGTTGTAAAATGCACCAAAAGGTCCAAAAATCTTGTAGGTGACACGACTGTCAATTCAAATTTTTAATTAACTCAATATTTCTGCTTTGGCTACAAATGTAGAAAATTAGATGCTATTAAAAAGGAACTAAAATAAACACATAAACTAAAATAAAACAAGCCATTTAACTAACAAGCTGACTCCTGGGAGATAAAACTCAAAAGGAGTCCGGTCCAGGCCTGACAGGTAGCTTGGTAAACTGAGGCACATTTTGCTGCTCGAACATATCGTGTGGTTTCAGATTCAGTCAACACTTCCAGCTTGAATCAGTCACTCTGGTGATTGTTTTATCTCCACTAAAGCTCTAGCTCTCCTTGTTGCTGCTGTCAGTCTTTGGTTCCGCTGCTTGGTCTTCACCGCCGTTCTCAAGCTCCGCCTCGTTTTCCACGGCTGCCGTTTCCTCCCCCTCAACCTCCTCCTCCTCCTTCTTTCCATCCCTACTTTTCAGCGTCTGGCCCTGTTTGTCTCTGAACACCTCCACGCCCAACATACGGAGATAATGAAAGCGCTCGTTTCGGGGGACGAAGGCTCGGATGGAGGTCTTTCCCCTCCAGCCGCACAGCTGGATGGAACACTGAGGCTCAGTGGGGTTACTGGAAAACAGAGGGGGGCAACAGGTGTGAGAAACTCATGCAAACCAGAACGTCACTTCAAACTGTTGCAGGATCGACAAGAAAATGATGCAACAAGCTTACTTTGGGTTTGGGATGTACTTCAACACAATGCTGCCCATTCCTTAAGAGAAAACACGAGAGGATTATTAGTAATAAGTTAGAACTTGACACCAAACATAGCTGCTTTGATGATGTCATATGACTACATGGTATGGTCAGGCATGCAACACGGATGACTCATACCAAGTAGCCATTCTATGTCAAAGTTACAGCTTTCTGAACTTGTAACGAACAGATGGACGGAGAGCATTTCCAAGTCCTCCACCTTGTTACAGCAGCTACATGTAGAATCTGACGAACAACCAGACGAATCTGCGCTTTGCTCAAATGATTTTTGCTCGGCTCACATCTGCAGGCTGCACCGCGGGCTGAGCAGGACATACCCATTTGTTTGGCCTGAGCGTGAGCGGCGTCCTCCAGTTTGCTGAGGAAAGGGTTCTCCTGAGTCAGCAGCACTTTGATGTCCTCCACACTCACTCTGATGATCCTGGAGCGAATATACGGCTGAAGGGTGTAGATTCCCTGGAGAGGACAGAGTGAAATGTGGACCAAACTATCAGATAAGGATTCTTTAGTTCCACTACATGTGAAAATGAATAAATCAGTCCCCATGAGTTTAAAAGGCTGGTTTTGGGGAGAGGATAAGGGTTAGGTTTAGAACGAAGGTGTGAATTGAGTTTAGGGTAGGTTTAGGTACTGGGGTGGTTAGGTTTAGGGCAGGGCTAGTCAACTAAACTGCTCCGGGGGCCAAAGTTACTGCAGGCTAACAACTGAGGGGCCGAACATCCAGCAAATAAAGCCATCAAAGTAAATAAGCCAAATATTACAAAGATCTGTTACCTTTGAAATAGTTTATTTTGATGCATTTAATCATGAATACAACATACAGAACCCAGTGTAATGAAAGTAGCGCAATTAAAACATCAAAAACAAAAACAACATATTATGTCTAATATTTAACAAAAAGTCTTTTGACTTCTTTGACTTGCAAATTTTTAACCAATTTTCTTTTTACTTATCTTAGTCTTACCTTCAATTAGGGCTGGGCGATTATTTGATTGCGATTATTGATCAAGAAAAAATTCAGATCGATCACAGTGATCAGCTGTGAGCCTCTGACCCCTAATTTACATTACATGCGTTCCATCTCCGCTCCGCTGCGCAGGTCGCAGCTGTGCGTTTCAAGTCCAGTTTACATCACCTCCGCTCCGCTCCGGTCCGACAGACGTGCAGGAAGGAGATCGCGCAATAAATTCAGTGATAAGTGTGGAAGTCACAGCAAAAAATAATTAATTCTGTGAAAGACGAACTCCAAACACAGCTGAAAACAATGATGTAAATGCTTTTGGTATCTATGTTGAAACTATCTCGCTGTCGGCTTTCTGAAACTTCTGATTTCAAAATAAAATCCATGTGTATCATGTGTGTACACATGTGCTTCATGCTACGTTTCCATCTGCTTCCCAAACAGAACGATTCATTCTGACAGCATTTGTGTAGAAATATATCCGTATATTTATTAATATAGCTGCAATTTTGACATTATTCCGACAAATTATCCAGCCTAAAAGTGTCTTATTTTGAAAATACGGATGTCGTGCTCGTTTCTTTTCCTGTTGGTGCGATGTAATCTTTAAAAATTGACTCCGGCGCTGCTCTGTCATCCAGCAAAAATAGGATCTGTTCTAATTTTGACGGATCGCCGTCCGCTCACCGCCGCCGTGCGCAGCCAGTGTAAACACTTATTGATTATAGTCGGTGCGTATTTGCTGCGGAGGTCGGACCGGAGAGGAGACGGAACGCAAGTAGTATAAATTGGGGGTTTCTCGATCAAACATGGCGGAAATGTGGGCGACAACAGCCAGTCAGAATCCACCTTCTTCTATTCCACTTACGTTTATAAGTTGTTAAGGAAACGCAGAATGAATCACAGAATTAACCAAAGTAATCCAGTATAAAACGCTGAATCTCACAGAGTTCGCTTATTTCGGCGAGTTGCTGAGGTAATTTGGCTGCTGTCGCTTTTTGTACCTGCTGTTACCTGTTGACAGACACGCAGGGTGAGGTCTGAGCTCCCCTCCCGAGTCCCGACAGACAGACAGACAGACAGGCAGGCAGGCAGACAGGCAGGCAGGCAGACAGACAGACAGACAGACAGACAGACAGACAGACAGACAGACAGACAGACAGAAGAAAAGAGAGCCGAGATGCGCATCTCGGCTCAAACAAAAGTGTCCTCTAAAAATATGAAGCAGTCGTAGAGTAACATTTAGGACAGAACAATGTCCCAGCGGTTCTTCTTTTATCTGGAGAAGAACTTTTCTGTAAGTTTTATTGGCATATGATGGGCTGGACAAGATGTGAAGACCACTTCCTGTCTGAGTCTCATCACAAACAGCAGCTGAGACAAGCTGCAAACTCCTGAACACTCAGAAGCTGGGAGTTCATCCAACATGTTGTGTGCAGAATCACATATTCGTTCATAAAAAATGAAACTGTGTTGTTTGTTGTTTGATAAAGCTCTGTTCACAGGAGGGGGGTGGAGGTTCCTTCTATAACAAAAGTAAATAATGAGCTTAGATTCTATTCAATTAGCAAGTGTGCACAAATTGTTGGCTTTATGTTCCTTTATATTTAATGTGAAATTCAATTCTAAAATTTTGATTTTTCAAAAGGATAACTTTATTAATGTGAGATTCGATGATTTACACATAAACGTTTTTTTTCTTGGTAAATACCTTTTTAAATACCTTGCAAAAATAATTTAATGTTCTACTGAACCACATTATTTTTTATATTAGTGAAAGTGAAATAACAGCTTTTTTTTATTTCTGTAGCTATTTATTTGTTAAATTATTTTTCAGTCACTTTTTAGGTTAACAAAAAAATTGTGATATTAAATCAAGATCGGACGATATGAAAAAACCAATCGTGATCTTTTTTTTTGCCATATCGCCCAGCCCTACCTTCATCTGCTTGTTGTTTTAACTGTCTTAGATGTTCATAGAAATGTTTTTTTTCTACCAGCTTGTAGCCAAGACTCTGACGTTTCTGTAGATACCACATGTCCATGTCTACGTCTAACTAAAAGAACTTGTAGTAATTAAAGTAGAACCGGGGGTTTGGGCTAAAGAGATTATTGAGACAATTGGACTTTGATCATCCCCGGGTTGGATGTGGCCCACGAGCCACCAGTTGAATAGCCCTGGTTTGGGTAAAGGGTCAGAGTTGGGCTGTAGCAATGAATGGAAGTCAATGCAAAGTCCCCATGAGGACAGAGAAGGCTGTGTGTATATATATATATATATTTGCTTATGCTACAGAGTGAGGACCGTCATATTTTCTAACAAAGTGAGGACATTTCCCAGTCCTCACATTTTTGCAGCTCTACTGCACTCTACTAGTTCAGTTTAGAGGTAGGGTTTGTAAGGTTAGGCATAGACTAGTAATGGTTATGGTAAATTTCTGGCTTAAATGAATTTACTACAAAGTTAATAAAGTCCTCAGTTTGATGCAAGCACAAGGTGTGTGTGTGTGTGAGTTACCTCCTGAGCCAGTCTGAAGGCACAACCAAACTCTTCTCCATCACTGTTACGAGACCACACCTTCACCCCGGTGTTAATGACCTGACATAAAAAACATCAAACGTAAAGCAGGTTGGTGAAACTCCCAAAGGGACAAGCAGTTACTCAAATAAGGGTTCAAACAGATTACACAAATGCAAATTATTGATAATGTTTTTCCCAAACACATAAGCCTATCTTGCCGAAGGCAGATTCAGTAAAATATACTTGAAAAACTGTTCACTAGGTTTCCCAGCAGAAAGCAGCAGTCATCAGTGATTTGCATTTTAAAGCTATTCTACACATCTGGGATAAATATGTTGGCTTTATTGCTTCAACAAAAGAGCAATAAAACTAATATAAGTAGCGTTTTATCACAAAACAGCCTCAAGACCTTTCAGCTGTTTGTTGCTTTAAACTAATTAAACAATAATTTAAATAAAGTCTAATATAAGCAACAAAAAAAAACGGCTCTAGATGCGTTTGTGGCCAAACTCACCTGCAAATGTGAAAAAAATATATAAATATTCCCAGGAGGGGTAAAAAAATAAATAAATTGCAAAGCAACTTCAAACAACTAATCTTGGCCCCACTTCTTATTACAGCCGAGTCCAGAATCTGTATTAATGTGCAGACAAACCTGAGCAGGTGTTACAGGCTGAAGAACCAGAGGGACACAACAGTCCCATCTGTTTATACTGTTTTAATCACAGTGACGCATGAACACAAACAGCAATATTCCACTTTTCAAGCTTAAATTATTTACTGTTTGGTGTAAAACAAAAAAAGATTGTATTTTAGAAAGTATGTGGAGACAGCACACACCTTCATGCGCTCGCTGTTGTTTAGCAGCACGTTGCGCAGCTCTTTGGACACCATGTACAAGTGTCTCTTCTTGCCTTCGTGGGTTCTGGTCAGAACGTTGAGTTTGGGGAAGTCAGGAGACATATCGTAGAACGATCTGAAGAGAGACGAAGAGAGGCTTTAGTTGGCCTGATCCAAGTGCTGAAGCCCACTTCTGTGTCGAAAATCCACAGATACTTACTGGATGGTGTTGAAGACGGGATCGTCTTCAGTCAGGAACACAAAGGGGTCTTCTTTATACCCAAACAACCTCAGCTTTTTAGAGGGTGGAGGTCTGAGAGACACAAACATAATCCCCAAAACATGTTTTTAAATAACCTATATCAATGAGAGAATATGCAGTGTGAATATTTAATAGGAAAACATTTTTGTTGAATAGACAAAAGACTAGCCTAAAATTAGCTTTTAATTTAAAAAATTTAGCTTTTAGTTAAAAAAAATCTGAAAAACAACAGAAAGAGTTATATATATATA